AAATATATTCAAAATACCGCAGGAAGGAAGCAGCTCCGAATGTCGCGGGAAGCATGTATCCTCATAAGAGAAATGCCTCGGAAAAAAATCCCTTCGCGGCCACATCCGAAATAAAAAATGAATATTTATAAAGAAGTCAAGCAAGAAAATATCATCGATATGACGCAGTAAGAGGGATGTTCATTAAAGATATGCCACACATAAGAAAATTCTCAAAATGATGTGGCCCGGGGAGCCTCCTGAGGGCCCCCGAAGAAAAAACTTTTGTCAGAAAAAAAATGCAGTACAGAGAAGAATCTTAATAGTGACACGACAAAGGAAACAGTCTCTATAAAAATGGCGAGCGAAAGGATATATTAAAGGTACAACGGGGTAAAATAAATCATGGGAAGAAAGATGCCCCACAAGGAAGATACCTCACAATGAAACAACATAAAAGAAGAGAACTTCATAATAATGCAACAGGAAATATCATCCTGAGGAAAATGCCACACACACGGACATCTTCATATTGACGCAAAAGGAAGGATGTAGCTATGCGAAAATGTAAGACAAGGAGGAATTATTATAGTGACATGTCAGATATAAGCATCCTTAGAGAAATGCAACAAACAGAGAAAGTCTCAGAATGCCGCGACGAGACAGTACCACATCACAGTGACGTGACACCACAAGAACACAGTCATCCGGAGGGAGAACTCCACAACAATGCAGGAGAAGAGATGCAACCTGATGAGAAAACTACACAAAAAGAATGGTGATAAAAATACAGCAGAGAAAGAGATATTCATAGAAATGCCAGGAGAAGTGGTATCTTCATAGAGGTGCTGCGAAAAATGTCATTATAAAGGAACCCTCCAAAGAATTTTCGTCAAAGAGATGCCGCAAAGAAGTGTATCCTCATGAAAGAATTAAGTAGAGAAATATATATAATAGAGCCAGACAACACAAAGCGCAAGCAACCGGTATAAGCCCTGAGGGGACCCCCCAAGAAATTGATCCACATGAAAGGACTTTGGGAAGTAAGCAACATGAAGCCAGTCCGCGAAAAAATACGCCACCTAAAACTACGTTGGCAAAATTACCCCACGTGAAACCACATTCGGGAAATTAGGCCACGTGAAACGACGTTTGCGAAATTACGCCAAGTGAAGCCAGTTTTGCGAAATTAGGCCACATGAACTCGCATATCTAGGGAAGTGGCACCATGAAAAAATATTCTCATAAAAGTGCAAAAACATGATAAAGCAGACTCATGGGGATGATACAACCCTAAGGCGCATCCACGCGCACTATACGGCATGGGAACTGATATGCAAGGAAGCTGCGATATGAATTAACTACTTATAAAGATGTAGAGACGGGAAAAAAACATACACAGGAAGAGTGCAACATGCAGGGGGATACTGGTGAAAATATCAAAACATCAAACAACCCACTCACGAAGCGGATTGGGCATAAGGACGCATTCACGAAAGTAATGTAACTATAAAGGAAACCATATAAGCACAGCGGCTAACCATTTTACGCGGTACTCATCCGATGTGCATATCTTTATTCCATTGGACTGATAGCGGTTTCCACAGGAAGGCATAAACACATTTAAGCGCTATAACAACCCCCCCAATCGTATGCTACATACAATTAAAGCTCAATAGGAAATTATAACTCATATTATACCAGTTCAAATTCAACAATCCATTATTCCCTTTATATATCCATAGATAAAAAACGTCATGAACAATTGTTTAATTTTAGCGGTCACATTTTCATGCCAAATGAACAATCTTCTAATCCGAATCTGCATATACTGGTAACTATATCCTCTTTCCGCGTAGAAATGTGTAGTACTGGTACCATTCTGTGCTTCTTTGGTTCCATCTTCTTTTATCCTCTTCCTGTATGACGCCATATGGGCATCATATTCTACCTGGTTAACACCTCCTATTTCTATGACTCATAAATTATTCCCAAATATAAAAGAGAAAAAATATACATATATATATCCATGGGTATATGTCCCATGGTAAGGTGTAATGAGATCAACAGGACATAGGCTGTTATCAATAAATCATAGCAATGTATAGAGGGATGTAAATTACCTGTATCTCTTGGGCCAGTATGCCCTTTATGTCTATAGGAATTGATGAATCCCTAGTCCATACCCATAATGTAGATTCCCTTAACACCCCCAGATGAGGAATGTCGTATGTCCCTTTCTTAGTTTACTACAATTTATGATATGAAGGATGGAAAACTGCGTTATACGCACACATGTCGGTTATTCTCAGTTTTTCCTCATGATTCAATACTGGAATGTTCTCTTAATCTTTAGGTTGTATCTGTTGTAATATATTACAACCCCCCCCACAATTCCTTCACTATTTCTGTTCCCTTTTGTACTATATATATGTGGGGGTAATCACAATCGATTGGTGCAGAATTATTTTCGTCATTGCCTATTGATTCTGTTTGGGTTCTGATTAACATACTTCGATTGGGCTGTATCCCCTGCTGGTTCACATACGGACGTAAAACTGGTATTTTGCTGTCTCTTTCTTTGTTAAATTCTGCTCATAATAGGTAATTTTTCTGACCGAATTAATCAAAGCGCGTCAGCGCATTCTTTGTAGTAAACCGCTTGCGTAACCGGACAGGAGGAATTGTTAAATATGATATCGAACCCGACGCCTTAAGAACCAAATCAAGGAGGCGTAGGATGCCAAAGGGGCTATATTATAAAAGATATAGATATTAGTGTCTCTAATGGAAGCGTTGGGGAATAATATAGAGCACAGCCATGGAGGTGATATCCAAAAAATAAACTCTGAACCCTGAACCCTAAACCCTGAACACCATACTAAGACAACGACTTGATTCACAATATATAGAGTGTACAACTCAGGTTAATCCCAATATTCTAAGACTGCCGGGTTATAATGACATCCTAAGGTGGGTCAACCAACATCTTCCAGGATGGACTACTTAGGTGATGTTTACCCAAAGAAGGAGTATAGGTGGTGGTACATTCCATATACACCATTCCATATGGTCCAACACAATATGTCAGGACAAATCTAGATTCGATTACAATCCATCACTAACAACTCATATTAGACGATTCACAATAGGGTGTATTGGGGGTTCATCCCGGAAGATGACTTCCTATGTCAAAAGGGGAAGGCAATCATCTCATCTCAATCCTTGACCCCCTTACGTGAGTTAGCTTGTCCTAGGTAGGAAAAATGTCATTTCTGGGAATCGAACCACAGTGCACCCAATTGCACAATAGAACTGATCTAAGGAAGTACTATAATGTAGGACGATGTCATCTCTTAACAAAGGAAGACACCCCCCTTACTACGGCTTCTTCTAACTTCTCATCGACATCTTCTAGTATGGGATGATTCATTAGACAATAAAAAAAGGACAACTCTAAAACCGGAATTAGAACAGTCCATGCATGGGAGTTACCAACTCAGTAGGACATCACTCATTCTTGTCATGGTGACTTTTGTTAGTCGAAAGTTTATCGACCATTCACTCCCCCTCCTATAATATAGGACGATGTCATGACCAAATCAACTTCGTCCACCTAACACATATATCACTTTGACACCAATATACACACTCATAATATAGGTGTCTAATGGTTATTCATCCACCATAAACCCGAATTTCACAACTTTTTTGCACGATACACTCAATCATTAGTCTAATACGACGACTTAGACTAAGGTGTCCCTTGGGGTTAGATAACAATGGATCAACAGACAACTCCCTATTGATAGGCTAATCACACCACTATAGAAATCGGCGGGCAAAAATGACTCCTCCTAACATCCATTATAAGGTTATCCTATTCTTATCCATGGGTCCATTCCTTATCGGAAACACCCCCTCTTAGGGTAGATAATCTGCCTACCTCCTATTCATTCTTTATATAGGTTGATGTTATATCCTGTTGTTCAATCTAGACACCTCTCATTCAAAGACAACAAGCTCAGGGGTCAATCTAAATCCGGGGTCCATCCCAATTTCCCAACAGAAAACAACTCTTCCTGTAGGCTTATCCGTGGTTGCCACCTGAGTCCCCCATACTACTCAGACAGGGTGGCTGTAAGGATATAGTGACTAGTTCAACTTCGGCACAAACAACTTCTCATGCGAAACACATCATCATAACCGTACTAATAATTATAGATGACAACATAGAACAAATCTAACAAAGGATGAAGTTGTGTCTCTGGAGGACCCCTTATATGATGGTACTCATATAACCTATCAGACAGCACCCCAATGGGGATACTTCCTTGACCCTACTAAGGAGAAAGACACCATCTCAGGGGGTGATTTCCACTTTTTTCCGATACGAAAAAGCAAAATAAAAAGATAAAAATGCAACTCCTCTGAGTCTGAAATCGGACCTCTCCTGGTTGCTTAAGACTCACTCTGTTGGTACCACTCGTTATAAGGAAGGTACATCCCAACACAGACAACGTCAAAGGAGATTGATTCGATATATTGACTCACGAATCATTCCATAATAGAAGAAGACGATTCCTCACATAGAATTTTGGGAACAAAATGTGTCCATCCACTATCTAACTTGGGACAATCGAACTCCTCTAACAACCATACAGTGGATGCTTCACTAATAATTAACGGACAAACAGACTAATAAAACGGAAGAAGGTACACATATTAACACAATGTAGACTGCATGGGGATTCACTTGTAGACATAACATATTCTTCTGGGGATAACTAACATATGGAACAATGGTAATCATATACGGGACATAATTCCATAATGCACCCATGTCTAGAAATAGGGTCTGTTCTAAGGTCGTAGACGACGGTACTAAAGTTACTGTGACGGATGTTATATTAGTATTGCTTGTTCCCTAATCCGAAACCCTGAATCCCAAACCACGAATCTCCGCTACCCCATCGACTCCGTCGCCTTATTGCTCTTCCGCCCCATAGGAGACTTCCCCCCTAGCCCTTATTCAACGGGATTATGCCTCCCCCCACACGCGTCCGGTCCTCCTGTCCTTTAGGCTTCCCCCCGTTCTCCGCCCCTCCCTCACTCCCGTCGCATCCCCTTGACCTGTTTAGGCCGTCCTCCTTCTCATACTGGGCCCGGGGGTTCTGCCTCCGCTCCCTGGAACGGCCTTTTTGCATTGCCCCCTTTGATACTGCTTCGTGTTCTACTGTGTCCTGCGAGTGGCCCCCTCCCCCTCTTGGCTTCTCATCATAGCATCTTGCTGCTATATTCTTTCTGGGGTTTACGTCACGCTGTCCGCCTCTTTCCTTTTCCACCGTGTCTTCCCTCCCGGCGTGGGCCACTCTACATTCAAATGGCTACTCCATCCACTCTGGGTGGGTCCCGGCTATTTGGTATAATACCTGGATACTTTTGGTCGTAGGGAGGCCCCTTCGGATAGCTGGGGGCTTCTCATTAAATATTCTATATAAGCCATAAATATTCACCACATATGCTACGATGGCTAAGCCACCCACTATCCAGCCTATTGGAAGCTTCTCGCTCCCTCCTCCGGAGCTTGCCCCTACCGTCATCTTCTTGTGCCACTTGTTCGCTTACTCCTCCTCCTTCTCTTATTCGGCTTTTGCTACTTTTACTTTGCTGGGGATTCTTATACTTCGTGGAACTTGCCCCTCCTACTGCCTTCTGGACTTAATACCCCCGTCTTTACGCTCTCCTTTGTTTTGCTTCCATAACCTTCTCAATTCCTGCGCCGCAATACGAATCCTTCACCCCACCCTGCAGGCGCTCCTGCCCCTTTTGGCTGTCAAGGGGCTCCCGCACCTTCTGGCGTGTTTGCCTTGCTCTTGCTCTCCTCCCTCCCCCCCTCCTTAGGTTTCGCATAGGGAGCGCCCCCGCTGTCGCGACTTGTTGGTCAATTTCGGGGTAAGCCAGACACTTATCCTATTTCAAAACCTAGGTTCCATTGCCCTGAGGATCTCTATTCCTTGGTCTCCCCAATACTGACTTTGGGACCTGTTATATGGTGCCCTCTCTTACTTCTTCCTGCTTCCCTTGTCCCCCCTTCTGTTTTGGGGCTGTAATGCTTTTAGAGATTCTGCTGGCTCCATTCTTTATCCCTCCCGGCACCCCCCCACATCAGGTCCTGGGGTCGGACTCCCGTGCCCGCCTCCTGGGGGTTCTATACTGCGGGATTGGCCTTGGATGGGGCTCTACTGCATTTTCCAGGTGGATCCTGCCTACTTAGTGTACTCCCGTCGCCTTCTATTTCATATAATATAAAAACGCACCTGCCATACATATCTCTGGAGTTCAAGTTTCGTTGTTCTGATTTCGGGGGAACTGGGAATTGACTCCTATGCCTCAACTTCTTCCGCCTATCTGCCACATGCGGTTATCCCTGGCTTGCCGTGCCTCTCTTAATCCCCGCTTTCCCGTATAGTCTCCTTTTTACTTCATTATCACGGGCAAAGCGCTCCAATTCGGGGTTCACTAGTTATCCTGCCCCGCCCCCAGGAAGATAAATATTTTCTCCTCTTCTTGGGATTTCGGTGATTCGCCCCCGGGGTGGATCTGCTGAGCTTGTTCCATGGCGTAGCCGTCCCGTCTTGTGACGTTTGAATTAGATACTGGCGCTTTGTTTTCTGGTTTCTCACTCAGCCTCTTCTGCAAAGGACTAGTCAAGTTATGCTCCTAATGCCTTCGGGATCTTCAAGAGACTGCTTATATTGCCCGTTCTATTGTGGGTACCGACACTTATATGTTGCTCCTTGATTATGGCCCCCTATACGGGCTGCTCATAAAGTTCCTTAATGACTTGTTTTACTTCGGTGGCCCTGACTGTTGCTCCAACGGACATCTGGAATTTTCGTGTCTTCGCAGCCTAAGTGCGGTTTAGGGAGGACTGCTTCCCTCAATTGCTCCTTATCCTCCTTGCTGTCCGTCCCCTCACTGATAGATCACTTTGGGAATTAGTTATCAGGACCTTCTCAAGTGCTGTTTGATACTCACTTTGTAAGAGGCTACTTGTTGCCTGGGGAGATAAATAGACGTCTGGTTTGATATTCTTCGCTCTATTCGTCCTTGTCCCTAGCTTCCGGAATCAATATTTTGCTGAGGGTTCCTTTTTCCTCTACTTGTGGTACCTTAATCTTGGTCGCACCCGTAGTTTCCATTCTGCTACTAATATAAGGAGGGAGTCCTGTATTCTCCGCGTCTTCAGGCTTCATCATCTGCCTACTCTGTGCTGTCTAGCTTGCCCTCCCTCTGTTAAGTCTCGTCAATGTAGGCACTGCATGACTCACTCTCTGGCTACTGTCTGAGAAACCCTGGCTTGTTCTACTTCTTAAATTCTGTTCCCCCTTCTCCTATAGTTGCGTGAGGTGCGGGAGCTTCCGTCGCTTGTTTGGTCCCTTTCTCTCTGCTTCAGATCTGCACTGCTTCTCCTCCTGTAGGGATCCCCGCGCTCCCCCTGTGGTGTGGGGAGGATTCGCACCTCCTTTACGGCTTTGCCTTCACTGCTGTTCTCTTGAGTTTTCTTCCTCTGATCTTTGCCCCAGGCGTCCCCTTTAATATTCTCCCCGCTGTTCTCTTTTTCCTTAGTCGTGACGCTTTCCCTTTCTACACCCAAGGTCTGGCCCCTATCAATTTTCCGCTTCTATTATCTTCTCCTTCATATCCTCTTCCCTGGGGGCACATCTTGCGCATCCTGACTGTTTCTGGTCTGGTTTGTCCTTTGGCCAAGCTCAAGCTTGTTCCTTTGCCACGTTGTTGGTGTGTTTTTCTTGCGTCTGATGGCAGATTTAAGGTTCCCTGTAGAGGGGGGCTATTTCTCGCCTTGACCCTTCCGTTTCCTTGTGTCTCCTGTTCTCTTCTTTGTGGCTGCGGCCTGGTTAATAGTTTTGTTCTCCTCGGTGTACTTATATTATGTGTTATGATTTTTTGCTCCTCTCTGTCTCGTTCCTGTCTTGGGATCATTGAGGGGGAAGGAGTCCTTAATCTTCCCCTTCTCCTCGGCTTGTCCCTGTAGGAGGCTGACACACTGTCCTCGGCGAGCCGGCTTGGGCTGTTCCTTGCCTTTTCCCATTATTTCAGATCGCCGTTGCATCGGGAAGTGTCTTGTATAGATATGTCTGCATCTGTTCCATTTGGGTGCTTGACTCTCCCAGCTTTTTTTTAGCTTTTTTCATTTATTTCCTGGGATTCATTTTATATAATTTGGGTGCTCGGGAAGGGGTCAGTTGGTCTCTCTTTCTTTTTTATTTAGACTTCTCCCCCTCTCTGTGTGAGAGGGTTGAAACCCCCCGGTGCTTCAGGCTATTTGTGGGATGTCTCAATAATTGGTGTGTGGCCCCCGTGTTGAACCTTGTTTATCCCTTGCTTCCCCACTGGACCCTTGCTCGTTATGACTTGTCCCTCCTTGGCGGCATTGTCCTCTGCCTCGTTCGCGAAAAAGGGTTGGATGACGCGGAGACTCTTCCTTCGCCCGGTGTGTGCTCCCGCGCAATGTCGCCCTCTTGTTTCTTTAGGTTTCCCCTATTTATACGTCTTCTGCGTTCATTAGACTGCCCTCCTGCGTGTTCCATGAAGGCGCCCCTGGGGTTGCCTCTGGGGAAGTTGCTAGGCCCTATTTGGTTTAGACGGAATTTATTTGCCCTGTTACTAGATCAGGCTTTTTTGCTTTCACTGTTTCTTTGGTGCATACCTTTGAGGTCCTACTGGGCTACTGCCGTTGTGGCATTATTTGATTTGTGGGGTGATTTCTAGACGGAATTCGGCGGGGTCCTATATTCCTCTCGAATCTGTGTTTCCCCTCCTTTCCATTGCGGCGGGTAGGGTTTGTTCCGGGGAATGTTACTGGGGTCTTAGTTCATTCCTGACGTTTCGGGTGCGATTCTGGGCAAGAGGTTACTCCTTGTAATGTTTACTCCTTTGGATGTTGTGGAGATTTGTATATCCTGTACTGTTTTTTGGTTGCAGAGGGTTGCGTTTGGGGATGGGTTTCTTCATTCTTTCCTTATCTTTCCCTTCTGGTTTGCCCTGTACCCCTAAATCGGAGCCTGGTAGGAGTGGACGCTCTATACTTGTTTCTCGTTAAGTTTCGCCATTTTGGAGACTTCCGCAGGGGCGTGTGTGAATAATCCTTGCTGCTTATTGATGTTTATTTTGCTCGTATATTGTCGTTTTTCGTTCTTGTCAGTCTTCTTTTTCTTTGGGCCCTGTTCTGTTCATGGGGGAGGACTACTTTTCTCCGCCTTCCTTGGAGCTTTCTGTTCCGAATTGTTTCTTCTTTGGTTAAATCGTGTTTGTGGGAGAGTATTTCTCTTTACAGGTATTAGTCTTGTGGGTTTCTCCTTGTGTTCTTCCTCTTTTGGTATCTTATTCTTCCCTTTCCTTAAAGTTTCCCGCATCACTTTTCCCTGGGGGTATCTGTGTTGCGTGTTAGATCTTGGGTTCTGACATATTTGCTCTTTCTTCTCTAGTGAGGGGAATTTCATGTTATCTCACCTGTCCGGACTGTTTTTATGGTTGCTCAATCTGTTGCTTGGCGTGGGTAGACTTCCTGTGCCGCCCCCAGATTCAACCCTGTTCTGTTGTGTTGCCCGTTCTGTCCAGGCTCTCCCTGTCGTCGGTTACTACTCCCCCTTTATGTGCCTGTTTCCCTCTTCGTTATTGGGCTTCCTCTCCTTTCGTTCATCTTTCTCTTATACTTGTTTTTCCTTTCTCTGCTGATCTTGTGTATCCTGGCGTGTTAGCTCTATGCTCTTCTTGACATTAGCTGTTCAACTGCCTTGTATGACGTTAACAACTCGGATCCCGTTGTTTCTCTTTGGTCATTTGGTTCCTTTTTTTCATTTCTCTCAGCCAGTCCAGGTTGCGGTCCCTCCCAATGCTTTCCCCCGGAGTCGTCAGTCCCTCCCTAGCTCCTCAAGTCTGTTCCCTCTGGTGGGGGTGCTTGCCCTTTCCTCTTTATACTTTTCTTACTTCAGCCTCTATAAGTTCTTACCTTCGCCTTGTGTCCTTCTGCCTTCTCCCTTTGGGTTATTGGCTGTTCTGTACTTCAGTTACGGTCCCTAATGCCTATACCTGTTTTTTTCGCTTCCCTGGTTAGTTCTCTGTTGTGCATTAGTGTGGTGCCGTGGGGGGGTATTTCCCTGTGCTATCTGTCTCTAGTAGCCGCTTCGGAGTCTTAGGGGGTAATTCATAGTTTTATGCCGTCCGGAGCCTTCTGCCCCTGTTGTTGTGGTTGTTTGATGGCATGGCTATTGTCGCGTATTGGGCACGCCCTCAGTGACTTCCCCTGGTTTTCTGTACCTTCCGGTAATACGCGGGTTACATATCTTCTTGGGAATTTACCCCTGGGCCGCATCTGGGACGCTCTGATGCCTTCCTGTGTCGGCGGTTTCGCTGTGCTGTTTTGGTTCTACTCATACTTCTTAGTGGACTGGATTCCGGGGGGGTTTAACTGCCTTCTTTCCTCGGGTAAACCCCTGTTGTCCTTTCTCCTTCTTCTTTCTTCGACTGCTAGAATTCCTGAGGCAGCCTCCATAATACTACCTGAAATCTGTGGTTGTAGGTGCTGTTGGACTGCGTCTTGCCTGTTTTTCTTTGTTTTCCTGGGTTGAGGTTTTGTCTAGCTTCCCATGCTCCTGTAGGGGTGTGCTCTCGTTGTGGCCAGCATCTTCCTTGTTTTAATTACTGAGATCCTGCTGTTTCATAAATATTACTTCGCCTCCTCATGCTTCGATTGGTGGGTGTCCTATTATTCCTTTGCCTTTTGCTGTAAAGTCCTGCGGAATCTTGGGGCCTCTGGGAATGCTTTTGCTCTTTTTCCATGTTGCTGTTCGTAAAGTACTTCGGTACTTTACTGAATGCTGTTTGTCCTATTTCCTTTATATCTTCGTGTCTGGCCGGGTGCATGATCCTCCCGTTCCTGCTGCTATTGTGGTCCGGTTGCGTGGAGTCCCATCCCTCTTTCCCTGTTCACTTCTGTTTCTTCTATTTGTTTTTTGGGTGGCCCCTTCTTTTGGCCTGGCAGCAGGTACTTGATTCTCATGTTATATTCCTCTGACATTTTTTCTACTCTTCATTATTATGTGATATCATCCTCCAGTGGTAATACTACTGTTCTGCCTTGTGGCCCGTTGCTTCTCAACATTTATTAACACACTAACTCCCCATTAGCCTTATTCCTGGGGTGTCCTGTTGGCTTCGTAGTCTTTGCCTTGGTATAGTTGCCGAATTTTTTGGGGTCTGTTCATAGTCTCGCCTGTTTCCCCTTCTTGTTGTTGTTGGAGTCCTGATGCTGCGGTTTCGCATATAATCCTACCCTATCCTTGTTTCTTATGTTGAGGCTTTCTCCGCCTTCTGTTGTATTCTAAAATGCATATCCTCCCCTATCTTACCTTTATATTCAGGTATTCCAGTTGCAGCTCCTTTTTTTTGTCGTTGACTAGTTAGACGTCTTTTCCTGCTGTTTTTATTGGGTGCCGTCTTCCCTTTTATAAAGCACTTGTTTGGGTTCATAAATAACTCCTTCCTCTTGATTTCTTTATACATATTTTTTGGGCCTGTAGGTTTTCTTATTACTTTTGTCCTTGTGTTGTCATCTTAGTTTTTTCCCCCTCCGTGAGGCTTAGCACATATTTTCGCCGTTGGCATCTTGCTTATTCTACTTTCCATCTCTTACACAAGTCTCTTATAGACTTGTAGATTGTCTCACTTTTAGAATTAAGACTTATCTATTAAGGGGAACTTCTATCGTATCTAGTTGTTTTATTATTGCTTGTGTTTTACTTCTATGAATAATGTGATTAGTAGCGAGGCAGTTTTGGTTTCTCCGGTTGAATTACAGTAATCGGTTACTGCCTACTACTTATATCAATAGATTATAGTAGACTCTATCCTACTATTTTGTACTTTTGTATTTAGGATAAATGGAGATAATAGGGTATATTCTATGAAGCTATTATTAATAGTGAGTACTTTAGCTCATCAATAATTTTTCATTGTGAAATATTAGAGTATCAATATACCCATTCGTATACTCTTCCTAATCTTTATTCCAATATCCTACTGTTACCCACGTCTTTGATTACTAAATAGTGCCTGTAACTTGTACTTGGGTTATGTTAATATTCTTCCCCTTCTGTTCCTTAATTTTTTTACATTTTTTCCATCCTATTTATACCGCAGACATCTGTAATAAGCTTTAGCACAGGAATTATAGGTTTAGATCTCCTTTTGTTCCTTAATTTTTTTACATTTTTTCCATCCTATTTATACGGCAGACATCTGTAATAAGCTTTAGCACAGGAATTATAGGTTTAGAGCTCGTTTTATAGATTAAATGCTACACAACTATATCATATGTGAGAACGCCTACTCTAAAAACCAGACGCAATAAGGATATATAACAGCTTATTATGCCACATCACCCGGTATTAACTCAGGGATGCTGTATAAATTCTTAAAAGAATTTTCCCATGGGAATATTATCTTTGTTTCGTACCCTTCTTAACTCTTCTGGTTGCTTCTTATTAATTTTCATGTATAATCACAAGTCGAGTTCATTATTATTCATGAGTACCGGTTAATTCTATCCCAGCTTGAATAACGAGTATTCCTTCAAAATAATGAGAAGTATGTTCACATTGTTTAGACCTAGTTCAACTGACAATATTAGGATTAATTCCATTAGCTGTTGATTGATATTAACAGGAAACACAGTAATTGAAATTCAGAAACTCCCCTGCTGTCTTCTCGAATCCTTCGGAATATATAGCACAATTTTCTTAAAATCAACTTGAAGACATGAACTCACTCTACTGATTGATTATACGATCCTCACTCTTTAATATAATATACATTAATTTATAAGAGTCATCCACTTTTCCTCTATATCAGATTTCCTGTTTGGACGTGATGTAATATTGCACATTATTCCTTATGCAAGAATTTCTTTACGATTGTTAAGTATCTGTTAAAAACACAGAGAAGGAAATATATTGGCAGGTGGTTTATATATATACAATCACTATTATCGTCTACAGAAACAGCATCTCTTCATAGACAAAGTCACACACGAAAGGACATTTTCAAAATGCCGCGGAAAAGGTACATCATCGTGGAAAGAATGACACACAGAAGGACATCTTCAAGAACCCCCGGCAGTAAGAAGCATCCATATAAGATAGATGCAACAAAACAATATATTCACGCAGCTCTACTATACTTATAATTAACGCTACATCACCTAAGCTATTCTTAGGTTCCATAGATTACGATGAACTCACTAATATAATGACATTTATTACAAGACATCATATCAGCGTCAAAATACTTTTAAGAAAAAACACATCAAGGAACATATTGAGTTGTGTACATTTTATATATTATCGGGTTAATTACATCATACAATATGGATGTAGGAGCTGCGTAAATAAATGAAGTCTGTGCAAAAATATACTACCTCGCGAACACGACCCAAATAATGCGCCAAGGATCGAAAATATATAATTAATTACTAATACGGAAACATCACAGAATATACGTGAACTCTACTTAATAGAATATATAATTTCAGTGGAAGAAAAAAAAAACTTTTAATTAAGGACACAATTCTTAATTTACTGCCCACTGTGTAAAAGAAGGAAAAAAAAAATGCACTACGAGCAGGATAAAATGTAAAGGCAACAGATAATTTTTAATGAAAGTTGGTGTAAAGAAATTGCTTCTTTGCAAATCATTCCATTTATATGAGAGAACTACAGGAAATCCTTTGCAACTATTATTTTTCCCGGGGGAAACAGAATTGCTTCTCTTGTAACAAATAAAATTAAAATTGATTTATAATTTCTATTCATATTATTCACACAGAGCAGCGCATTTCTAGAGTATACCGTGCTATTTTGTGCGATTACACACGCGAATAAGTAAAATATATAATTCATTTAAATTTTTATGATAATAATTAATAATTAGTGAGCTCACAAATGATGTGCGCCTTGTAATTCACTTTCTTTTTTGCTGAAATAACCATATTTACGAGAAAGGAAAAGAATAATTAAGTCTGCACTACATAGCAAACAGAAATAAGTCCATTATCATCATTCATAAGAATTATTTACATATCCTTTTATAAAACCATTACACTCAAATGAAGTGCACAGAATGTGTGAACTCAAGGCATAGTGTGCATTAACAAGTTTCACTTTGAATGCGTTATGTTGTATATATAAAATTCTCTTTATAAGTGAAATATAATCAAGACAGAAGTATATTGTACGTATAAATCATTTTATGAGTGACAACAATCCTAA